AAGGACAACCTCCCTCGACCTGCTGGCCACATTCCTCCTAATGCACCCCAGGATCCCATTGGCTTTCTTGGCAGCCAGGGCACACTGCTGACTGATGGTCAATCTGTCATCCACCAGGACACCCAGGTCCCTCTCCACAGAGCTGCTAAGCACACTTTAGAGGTGGCAGGCCTCTGTTCCCCAGGGTCAGTAGCTTGCTTTAAGCTGAGTTCCTTACAAACTTATTTCACTTATTCTAATATTATTTTCCCATATAAGCAATTGCTTCTACATTTACAGTTTGGGTGATCATCAGTGGCAGTGGAAGCTTCCAGGTATATACTGCTAAGAAACTTTCAGAAGCTTCACCTGTCTGTAGTCCTTAGTAGATGTTCGTTTGGTCATGAACCTTAACAAGATTCAAATATTTGATTTTTTAAGTGGCTAGTTTTAAACTCTGATAACCTTCCATAAGCAAAATGGTGTCTTGAACTCCAGTATGTGTCCTTTTCCGTATTTAGGCAAAGTTAATGTACACGTGAGTGGATTTTAAAACATCAGTTTTTATATTTCTTTGGATGTGTCAGCTTGAGAAATGGTTTGAACATGTCTCCATATCTTCAGATCTTGTTATGCTGTTTCCATATTAAGCTGCCAAGATCGTTGCATCGAACAGTTGTATGCATTGTTTGTTCTTATGTCTGAAATCTCAATTTTTTCAACAGAGCCCTTCTGCTTGGCACACTACCCATCAGCTTTTCACAGTGTGATGTTTAATCCAGTAGAACCCAGATTACTGGCTACTGCCAACTCTAAGGAAGGTGTGGGGCTCTGGGATATTCGTAAACCTCAGAGGTAAGATTTGGCTGTTCTTGTCTTACAGTGTGTTATTTCTTTTGTTTGAGAGGTGACAGCATGCCTTTGTCTCTTTTTTTAAAGTCAGAATATACAATGGTAAGAGAAGGACAAAGCTAACAGCAATGCTAGTAATGTTGAATTAAATTATTTTGCATAATTAATATTCTTCATACATATGATCCAATTTGATTTAAAATGGAGCTAGATCTTCAATGTTAAGGTACGTGATTTTTTGGAAGCTTGCCTGGTCTCACCACTGCAGGTTAATTTCGATTGATGTGTCAAGTTTACGTCACTGTATTTAGGACTGGCTTGCTGATACTGGAAGAAGACATGGTGGGCACTGCCTGGTTTACCGTTTGTTTTTTTCTACCCAGGTCAGTTTTCAGTGGCTGACTAGAGATTGTGGTCAAGGCAGCTTTTTATTCAACGCTTGAGAGTTTTATATGACTTCCAAGACACCTTGATAATGAGTATGGCTGCATAAAGTGCTTCCAGATTTGCGTAGGATTTTAAACAAATGAAAAGAAGAGAATAGGTTTGCAGTATCAAGTGTAGTTAGACTGGGTTCTAAAGTGGATGTATGCAATGTCTGATAGCAGTTTTGCATGCAGGAGTGATTAAGTTTCGGTCGAAGTCTTTCAGTCTTGCAGATTTTGAAAGTAATTTCCTTTATCATAATAATCAGAAAAAAAAATTTGAACACCTCAAGTAAATGTTTCTCCCTTACCCCCTCAACGTTTATGTTTACATGTTTCCAGTTACAACTGTAAGTGTAGAAAGAATAATTTCAAAAAAGTGAAAAGAGAGAAAAACAGGCAGTACTTGTCTTACAGTGCAGTAGCCTCAGCTATTTAAAATCTTTCCTATCTTACACTTGACTTTCCGCTTACTGGTGAATTTCTTGGAATATGTAGAAGTGCATAGCACTAAAAATTTTTCTTTGCACTGTACAGAGAGAAAAAGCAATCTCATAGGAAGTTAATTATAACTGGCTTTAAAAAAAGTCTAAAATGTTTAGACATCCATTACAATAGCAACCAAATTATGGTTTCAGGAGGGTTTGTTATTCTTAAATTGTAAACATTAATGGTTTGAATTGATTTTTATTTTCAAGCTTGGATCAGAATTTGCATGCTGATGCTGATGGTGCTAGAGCTTGCTTGCATTTGTAAAGTTTGCCAGAGCCCGTGTTGGCAGCTGTTGTACAATCTGCTATTAAATTTAGGTTTGATAAAATTTAACTGTAAGGGAGTTAGGAAGTTGCCTAAGCTATCTTTTCTTATCCTTGTCAAACTCTTTATGTCTAGGTCTTCATAAGTTCCTAACATCAAACTGACTTCAGCATTTACTGGATAGAGGGAGAGAAATAAATGATATTAGGATTATTTTGCTCTTGCAAAACATGTTTCTTGGGTTTTTTTCCCCCCATAAAATTTCTGTCATTTTAACTTCAGTTCATGCCTTTTTTTTTCCCCTCATGAACTAATATGGCCAAAGTTGGCTGCTTCTTGCCAAGCCAGCTGGCCTCTTGCTGGTTTTGCAGAATTCTTTGGTTTTCAGCTTCTACCTCAGTTTTATCACTGTAAGAACTTCTGCAGGTTGTGTTGGTCTTGTTTTTGAAAGGGAGTTACACCAAAAGGAATGATGTTGGTAGAGTGATACAGCTTATATCAATAGAAATTCTATATGGATGCAAAATTTGGATGAAGTCTTTCAGTTGGGTAGCAAAGTGAAATGGGATCACCCCTGGAAAGGTTGTACAAGGCTAATGGAGAGGGGAAGACAGGTATCGCTAAGGATACAAGCATTGACCCTGATAAATGCAGGAGCAGATTACTGGAGTAAGGAATTCTCCTCTTACACATTTTAACAGCTGCTTTCTAATAGCAGAAATAATGTCTTTTTCTTAATTTTAGCTATTCTCATTAAGACTTTGATCTCCCAGAGTTTCTCAGCTTTGTATTTAAAAGTTTTGTTGAGCTATTGCTTGAGGTGGTAGCAGCTTTCAGGTCATGGGAACTCAGAAGATCGCCAGTCTAGATGCTATCCTGCCTTCTTCCTCAGTCTTAACCACAAGGCCAAGTGTTTACTGTGAGCTTGTTGGGAGCTACTGTGCGTGTATGGGATAATAATCTGTGCTCACACGTTTAAGGACACACATTTTTAGCTGTATTGTGGCATTGTTCTTTCTAATGCCAAATATAAAATAGCTATAGCAGAATTTAATTGGTAATGCTTCTTGGCAAGTAGTTAGTATTTTTCCAGGTTTAGCGTCAGTATGAAAGTCGTAATAACCTGTGACAAATCTGAATTCTACAGTCTTATTTTGAATGGTGAAAGGAGAGGGGAAAGAATGCCTTGTGTTGTAACCTCTGGGTTGTCTTGAAGGCCTTGCATAAATTAAGTTGCTGGAAGCTTCAGTGCTTACATCTGGTGGACAGGAGCTACCCTTTTCTGGTCCTAGTCTGATCAGAGTAAATCTTTCCAATTAAAAAGCTAGATGGTGATGATTAAGCATCATACCTTGCAACTACAGTGCTGAAATTCCTAGGTGGATAGGTCACACCACTGGTTCTGCGCATAGGGAAGCGTGTGCAACACCCTCATTGTACAGCCGGACGTGCACCGCATACGCCACACAGCTGTTCGCTTAAGCACTGGGAGTAAAGCATTCGCACCCATAGGTGTGGGACATAGTGTGAAATAGGCACATGCTGCCTGCCTGCGGCCTGCTCCTCCCGGAGGACTCGGGGAAACGGTATAGGAAGAGGCAGGCTGCTCCTCACAGAGTAAACGCTGCTGACTGATATCTGAACCCCAGACTTGGGCCGAGCAAGCTGTGACTTAAATGGATGCAAATGATAAGTCTGCTTTCAGCTGCCACTTTTCTGGGACAGCCATCAGCTGTCCTCCTTTGCTTGATCAGAGCATGGTGCCCAGAACATGGTGAGAAGGGTATGTTTGGCTGAGGAGGGAAAGAAAATGGCCTAAAGCACTCGGCTGCTACTGCAGTTTGATCCCAGGAACCTCTCAGGGAAGAGGGCTCTGCAGAGTGAGCTGTGTCCTGCTAGGGGGCTGCCAAAGCCAGAGTCCCTCGTGTTTAAATACATGAGGCTGGATTTTTAGTCTTCATTAAAGTAATAGAGCATTTGCCAAAACTCCCACTGGTCTCTGCAGATCTAGTTTGCTAATCTAGAAACATGGAACTTGATTTTTAACATGTTTGGATCCAATTCACTTTGTCTTATGAGGAAACAATTTTATTAATTTGTAGATCAGTTAAGATACAATTCTCACTCTAGTGAGGAAGTGGAAGCCAGAATTTAGATTTTCTTCTGTGGGTTTTAGTTTGTTACAGTTTCTTCTGGGGAAAACACACTGTGAACTTATTCTCAGGAAAAAAAGTTTTTCGTTAAGGATGAAGTAGCCCACGTAATGCTGTAAGTACTTGTGATAGACTTTAAACAGAACTGAAGTTGGTAAGTGAGGGAGTTTGTGGATATCTTCCGTATTCTTAGTAAGAATAAAGGACACAAAGTGTAGTTTCAGGTGAGATGTGTTCCAAAAGCATTTTGGCTGTTGAATTTTGTAAGCAGAATGGGTTAAACAGCCCTGAAGTTCTCAATAATCTAGGGATAAACAGGAAGCTGCCTGTGTAACTTGCCTGCCAGGCACTAGCACAGCAAAGAAGGGGTACTGCATCAGCTGCTTTCCTCACTGTCAAAAAAAGTCTGCTAATGGTGGAAATCCTGGCTTCTCTACAGGTTTGTAGCTCTCTTTTTTACTGTCATGAGTATCCAAGGAAATCTAACACTGCCTGAGGTATAGGAAGGATGAGGGAATAGAGGCTTTTGGGGGACACAAGATGGAAGTACTAACTTGCTGAGATTGTTGAATAGCACAATATGTTATATATATGTAAAAAATATAAAATTTATGTTTATTAATAGCATAAGTAGTGTAAAATTGCTAGATCTGTCTCTTCCTTCCCTAGCCTACCTTCTTATTTCCGTTGCCGCACATGAAGTTCACTTGTGAGGGACTCTATTTCGTGCCATAAACTGTCAAAGGAAATAATTTGCTGCTAGTGTAACACTTCATGTAAAACTTGTTTCCACCAACTACTGTCCTGTTCTCTGACATTTCTTAGATGAAAGCAGAGTTAAACTGATTCAGCCACTACTTGTTTTGCTCTGTAACTACAAACTATTCTGAGGAATCCTGCTGCTGTTCCTCTGCAAACTCCAGAAAGCAAATGCAACACCTGGAACTCCAAAGATTAGCTGTTTGTGGCCAATAGCAGTACTGTAGGTAGCAATACCTTCACATAACATGTATTATGGCCAACAGCACTGTTGTGGTAATAGTCTCTACAGATACAGGTGAAGTTTGATAAGCCCATAGTATTCAGATGGCCTTCACTCATTTGAAGGGGATCGGGCTTACTGCTGAATTTCTGGTTTTAATCAGCAGAGGCTCCTGAAGTGAGGTATAGTTTTTCTTTAACTTTGTTGAGTTTGATAATGCGCTGTCAGAAAAGGGGTGATTTGCTGTTAACTTCTAAACTTGTATGGCAGTCAGTGGAATATGGCTAATTGTACAGTTTTAAACTAATAGTGCTAAATTTTCAAAATCTTGAATGGAGTAGTGATATCCTGGTGCATTAGAGAATTCTAATATGTAGATTCCACTGCTTGTTAGAAACAAATGAGCTGCATATACTTATTTATCCAGAAAATCTGAGGATTTTTACAACAGAGTATTTTTCTCCAGAATACACAGCTCTTCTCCAATTGGATTATAGGCAAATTTGTTTTCTAGCTTGCTGTTGCATGTCTCCGAGGAGAGTTGGTTTTACCTGCTTCTGTAGTCAGGCAACACTAAACACCTCTACAAATTAAAAATAAATTATTTTTAGGGTTGTTAAAAAAATCCTGAATATGAATAGATTTTATTCATATACTGTGAAATTGGTTAACTTTATGATGGGAAGC